CTTTTGCTTATCATGATTTCTGTGAACAGGAATCATTTGATGGCTGTGATTTAATAATCATGAGTCTAAAAGTAGGACACTTAGTGTACTCTACATTTAATGCAGCAACATTCCATATAATATATTGTTTGTAAAATTCACAATATAATTCCATAATGTATTAAAAAGTTGAGATCAACAACATTTAAAAAACATTGCAAAATTTGGATATTAGATAATGATGAAATTTATTCTACTTTCATTCATAATAAAACACTAATGTTAATATATTTCTTCATTTCAGTTTATTCTTTTTTAAACAATATCTATTGTTTATATTCAGCAGACTGTTGAAATATTATTCATATCCTATCAAATTTTCCAATCAATCAATCAAAATATACTTGTGATGCTCTGTTTGGAATCTTGGGTGTAGTAATGAATATAACTGGAGTTTAATCTCAACACCAAACCGTTATTTTTTACACCTCGACACGACACGATCATCTTCAAGAGTTTAATCTTCCTCTTGAAGATGATCACTTGGTGATTGAAACACGTGTTGAGGTGTTAAAAATAACGGTTTGGTGTTGGGATTAAACTCCAGTAATATTAATCAAAATATACTTTGTCAGAAGATTTTTACCTCTTTGACAAAGTCATAAAAACACAATATAAAAAACAGCCATTATAAAAAAAGCCCCTAAATAACATGATCTACACAACTTTGTATAGAATTTTTTTTTTAATTGCAATGACAAAACACAAGCACTACAGGAAAATCCTTAAGGCGCTCTGAGAGCGGTGCCTGTGCGAAAGTAGCGATTCACGTTGAATTTGAATAGCTGAAGATTAAATTCATTTGGAAAACGTTCTCAGGAAGTTTATTCCACATAAACACAGTTCTCCAAATGAAAGAGTTCTTAAACAGTGAAGTTCGAGGTGTACTGAGTTGGACCTCCAAACGCTGAGCAGCTACAGTTCGTCGCGTATTTCTGATATGTACCGCTCTTGGTGGAATCAAATGTGCACAGTCACTTGAACACCTCCTGGTGGGAAACTGGTGGACAATATGTGTACTGAGTTGCGTTAATGTTTTTAATCGCTTCAAGAGCTTTTGATAAAATAAAAGCAAATTGGTGACTACACCTGGGTTTCTTTGCATCTTGACTGAAGCTAATACTCCAATGTCATGACCGTTATAAACGCGGTTATTCTGAAATAAAGAAAAAATATTTCAGAACTTTTTGACAAAAAAACGTATGTGCACAATTTGTATTTATTAGGGGTTCTACAGGAATCCCTAATAGGGGTGTTGATGTTTCTCACATTCATCAAATTAGCCGCAAATGCTGATAGTTTTTCAGTTGCTATATATGACGAAAATGGGGATGAATTTGAAAATAATATGCCCGGTACTAAGAGTTTGAGGATTGGTTTACGAAAATCGATTAATAGTTAACAACAAAACCTGAGTGGGTGAGGTCGACATCTGCCTTTACGAAAACGTCATCTATGGGATCGACAGAGAACTCAATCTTCACTTATCAAAGATAAACGAGGTTTCCCAAGGCGATCAGCTGCAAAGGTCAAGCTTTGAAATCGACCGCCGACGAGATTCGTCCTCTGCCTTTCACTGCAAGGCAAATAGTTGGAAACTAGGGCACGCAATGCCCTAGTTTCCAACGCAATGCCCAATGGCTGAACCACAAATGAAAGGCTGGACTCCACTGTCTTCAGAGGACAAGCCTGAGTAAGTAAGGTCGACGATAACTTTTCTTAAGACGCCGTCTTTGGGATCAACAGAGATCTCGACAAAAAACTACAGGAAAACGCTCCTTCTGTCAAGAAATCAGTGATATCACAAGTATCACAAGAATGATCTGTCTAACATTTGGAATCAAATAATTGAAATGTTTTTATGAATATTTTGTTTTCTCAATATATCCATTGAAATATTGGGACTGAGACACAAATAATGTGAATTTCTGTTTATATTTTAAGGTGTTTTTTTAAACTATGTATAGTGCAGTTTTCTATATTATATATCATACACCTGACGACATTGAACGATCTTCACCTACATTTTAGCATCAGCATAGTTATAAGAAAGGTACAGTTTTAGTACCCAACTTCAATTTTTTGTTTTCAAAAGGACTAGAGTCGCTCATCTCTAACTGTTGTAGTCGAGAGGGTTTCAGTATTGTTCAAACCAAGCTAATAGCTTGGTTTGACAGTAGAGTAGAATTGTACATGGTAGTACAGAAGAATTGTACATACTTACAGAGTTCATATAATAGAATTATCTGTGTTTGAAAATCCATAATAAATTTACTGTTATCAACTTTTATGGAATTTTCACACAAATTCGTTCACTTACTAATAGCACAGGATTTATGAGTAATATAACAGGTATCAGGAAACATGACATCTTCATGTAAGTGAGCCGCTTCCAGCTAATGTTGCCCGATGCACACGAGTGTACAGAGTGCGCCAAATTGGATACTTTCAAAGGGAAACTCCTGTTTTCAAACTAGATAGATAAAAACTGATGGCTGTGTCTGAGGGTCAAATTTTATGACAAACATAATGAAGAAAACCGCATCATTGTTTCTGAGCATGTTTTTCGAAAATTTGGTTGTGTTGCAATCTTGCAAAAATGTCTCTAGAAGGTTGTCTTCTCTCTGGATACCTCTCATGATTACTGGCTGCTCCTGCATTTTCCTCAGTGTGTATAAAACAGACTATCATATCCCATTTTTCATAATTCTCATACTGCATTGCGATTGTGTTTGAAAATTAAAGAGTGTCTTCACTGCTTAAATCAAAATTTGACAGCTGCCAGTAAAGATTTACATTCTGTTTTATCGCCGCATCGATTAAAGTGTGCATTTCCAAGTCTACATGTGAAAACCTAAAAGTTCTGTATTTCAAAGCTGAGTCTAGCAAAAGATTAAGTCTGCTACATTTTTGGAAAAGAAATATGCAGGAATATACAGGGTGTCTCATTTAAAAAAATAGTTTTTCATTGATAATTAACTATTGATATCTATTTTGAAAAAATAAGTTGTTTACACTATTGAATTCTACGTAAAAAAGTGCTTTGGAAATGTTTTCATAGAAACAAGAAATTTTTGACTGGAAAAAATTTACAGCAACTTTTCGAAAATACACATTTTCGCTAACAACCATTCTAGTAAATGAAAAAGTACTCTTTGGTGTTAATAATTATAGTAATTGTCGTTTTTACCTAAAAATATTCAACAGCATACACGAAGTATTTATATTAGATAGATTTTATTTAAACTGCATTCCGAACAGGTTTACAATCGATTATATATATAGTCAATGTCATGGTACATAAAATATATGATTTTACAATACACAGAGTAAATAAACACCTAAAATTATGTACAAGAGAAACATTAATAATAACAGGTATATATGGCACATTTTTTTTAAACGACTGTCTTATTTCTAATTCATCACAGCAAAAAAAATCAATGAATTTACAATCGATTATAAGTATACAGTCAATGTCATGGTACATAAAATATATGATTTTACAATCCGCAGAGTAAATAAACACCTAAAATTATGTACAAGAGAAACATTAATAAAAACAGGTATATATGGCACATTTTTTTTTAAAACGACTGTCTTATTTCTAATTCATCACAGCAAAAAAAAACAATGACTTACGACTTGATCATTCACTTGCCTAAGGCAGCGATTGAGTGGAGACTCTGATCGGGTGTCTGCATAGAAAACCATATTGCGATTTCTTAGACTAGCACTAGGAACATGCAGATTTATCACACTGAGGAGTTCAGATACATTTATTATCTGATTAAATATGTTGAATATAAATAGTACATCATTCAAGCTTCGACGATCCGACAGGGTTGGCATATCAAAATGTTCTAGCTGAGTCCTATAGGAGATCATAGAGGGAGACTTTTTTTTTAAGTAGGTGTACCTAAGAAATTTCTTCTGTATTTTTTCTATCATCTTTGAATGAAATGCTATTTGCGGATTCCTAATTATTGAAGCATATTTAAGCTTTGACCTGACAAAGGCATTGAATAGAAGAATTCCTAGTTCCCATTTGAAATCCCTGGCGTTTCTAAACACAAAACCAAGCTTTCTGTTTGCATCGCGTACAATATATTCTATGTGATTTCTGAAGTTGAAGTTACTATTAAATATGACTCCAAGTCTTTGATTTGAGCAAGTTTTTCCAGTTTGGGGCCATTTATTGAGTATTCTGTTGGAGTAATAACATTTTTCCGTGAAAAAGACATAACTTTGCATTTACCCTCATTCAGCATCAAGTTGTTCGTCTCACAAAAGATAGTGATAGAATCTCACAGCATACATTCTAATGAGAAGTAGAGAGCATTTGTTAAAACTTTTAAGAAACCATCAAAATGCATTCATGCATAAATTTGCTACTTTACAATATGAACTCTTACCTACATATTCATCAAATGAAAAAAAAAACCTTGATCCCTGAGTTGCACACCACACGAAAGAATTTTACAGTGTTATAAACAAATAGTATTCAATATCAGCAAAGTACAACCTGTACCTTACTGATACAGTTATAATATTGCTTCAGTTTATTTGCTTATTTCAAGAGTTTTTTGTTTATGATATGGATATGGACAGTAGTATGAGAGAAGATAGACAGGCCAAAGTCAGAACCAGAACACTTGTTTTGTATCTCTCTTTTCAAATATGTAATGTACGGATTTAGTACAGCTACTCAAATTTAGCAATAGACTTGAGAATTCTCCCAACCTGCCCGGTAGAAAATCAGAAAGCTCTTCCTTCGTTTGATAAGCTGTTTAATTGATATATTTTTCATGTACAGCTTGTCAAATATAGGAAAAACTTTCACGGAGGTTGTGAGATTTCTCAAGTCTCTTCCTAGATTTGTCAAGCTGTATTTATTTTTCTCTTGTCATTTATTGTGAATTCTTTTCAATTCATAAGTTAATATTTTGAATAATTCGTAGCCATCCGAAGCATCCGACACGAAAATTCAACTGCCAGGAATGGAAGAAGATATAGACGAACCTCCAGCCAAGCGACTACGTGAAAGGATAAAAGTGGATGTTGATAAGTGATTGTGTATATAATGAGAAGGAAGATGACGTGTAAAGTACGATCTCCGGAATAGATCCGTCTGTGTTTTGTTTTGCAGTCAGTCTCACTTTATATTGAACGTTATCGACTAATATTTCCACCTTTACTGTTTGAACTGTGGTTCAGAAAATTACAGACTCTGTGACAATTTTTTAATCCCAAAATTAGAGTAAGACGGTGATAAAAATGTTTGGGAAAATCAGGATAAGCTCATGTGTAAATATGAAATGTAAATTAATCTTCAATTTTTTCAGTTCCCTGATGGAAGTAGAGGGTAATTTAATTTCTTCTTGTTGGATGGTATATTTATAGTGTTTTATTGTTTCAAAAATTTAATTAATTTCTTTCGGGGCATATTTACCTGATATCCTCACAAATACATCTCAAAAGAATGAAAATGGAAGCTTACAATACTTTAGAATCTTTGCCAAGCCATTCATCTTTTGGTTTAAAATTTCCATATCAAATCACCCCATGAAAATAGCAAAACATTTGGTTTCACATTTCTAATTCAAATGACACCATGAACATATCAAAACTTTTAATTTTTTGACATTTCTGTACAATGTACCTTCTATTTGTTATTTATCTTACTCATTAGGTTAGGTTAAGTTCGAAGTGATTGAGTCTATTAGACCCTCCATTGCAACCCGAGCGGTTTTATCGCGGCTCACTCCAATTTAAACTCCGCCAAATAAATCCAACTGATTAGTTTGTTTGGTGAATAATCTTTCAGGTTCGATGGCGAGACATTGCCAAACATTGAAAACCTGATTCGGGCCGCAGCGGGCCAGATACAAAATATATGCTACGCTGTTATATCTTCCAAACAAATATGGCAAGATGGTATGCTGGATCGATCTTCCGACAGTCTAAGTCTTTTCATATGCGACAATGGTCTGTAAGTAGACCCGTTAGACAATGTAGTCTAACAAGGATTTGGTGACATTCTTCTTACTAACTTCAATATTCTTTCAATAATTATGGTCGCCAATGTCAGGAGCATCAGCAGATGACTTTATTTCAAGTTAATAAATAACAAGACAGACATTTTTTTATCTATTTCAGATCTGCAATACAATTGTAAATAAAAAGTTTTGTATGATGTTACAAATATAATGAAGGTTGAATTTCAAAATTTTCTGCTCAAAGGCTAACTTCAAAGGATATGTATATGACTTTAATTTCAGAGGCTGATTCCTTGTCATTTTTTATGAACAGAAATTCTTATAAGTATAAGTCTTAACATGCTTCGTATAAAATTTTTGTAGATTTCAATGAAACATTGTATTTTTAATTGATGTTACATAAAGCATATTTTGATTAGATTTGAAATAATAATTCCAGTGGCATTGCAGCAGTGCCTGATTGATAGTCTATAGGACTATTGGTTTAAGTTTGAAGAAATGTTCATTTATCCATTTTTGTTTTATGGTTCATGGGCACACTTTCTAAATCTAATTACACCAAAATCAACTATTTGTAATTTCAATTAATTAAATCGAGTTTCATCAAAATGTTTGGGAAGGTTTTTGAGTGATCAGTAAGTAATCGATATTTGTATTTCTCAGAAAACGAAACAATTTAGCCATATGTTTATGTCAGTGTTATAATGAAGGTTATTTTTGCGGGCGGTGGTGCAGAGTTTGGTCTCCGTAGAAATGGAGGTTAACTAAGGCGGATGTGTATACATAAAAAAGGGTTTATTATTTACCTTTTATTGAAAAAATACATATTCTAATCAAAATGGATAAGAGTTGAATTATATTATACAAATGATTGTTTTACAGCTATGCGGAACGAAATTGCACGTTCCTTTAAAAACATGCTGAGGTACGTTTTACGTAGAAGTTTTGAGGCGATTTTCTGTTAAAGCCTTGGTTTATATAATCTCGTAAAATATGACAGAAAACCAACCCTTTAAATTTACTTCATCATTATTTATGATGCACCCTATATATTGATTAGGTTTCTTTTCATCAGGCAGTAATGCAAAAGTTCAAAGTGAATTAGTAAGGATTGAAACATTTGGTTAATTACATGAAGACTTTTTTTCTATTCTATTTCAAATAATAGATGTTCTATTTGCTTTTTTATGTTTTTTTTTTTTCAATTATTTATATCTGAGGTAGAATGAAAGCATTTTCCTATAATTTAAAGATTGTATTTTATGTGCAAACAACACTGTCAGATTAGCTCAAACACAAGTCACTGAACATGAGGTCTGAGTCTCTTTGAAATAAGTAGTTCTTTTGTTTTTTCCTCTGCTTTGATTCAATTTGAGAGTAAAGCTTGACATTAATTATTTTAGGCTGTCTGACAAGGGAGAAATTATATTCAAGATTCAGTGATTTTTTTAACCACTTTGCATATGTACATTTAGTCTTTAGTAGAAATAATACTATTGTATTTTACATTGAGCTTGTTTCAATTGAGTCCCATGTGAGAGTTTCTCAAATTCCTAAAAACAAATTAGATTTAGAGTCCATTCAAGAAGTTATTTTTATATGCTGGGTGATTTTTCATAGATTTGCAGCGCTTGACCGGTTCTGCTTTATTTATTGTTTCCATCATTAAGATTGAATGTGTTTTTTGTATTAAGAATGCTGGACGGTTTTTTATTCCAATGTATAATTTTCAAGAAAATGAAATGGAGCATAATTTTTTTTATATCAACGGCAAGTTGTTCCAATTGAAATATAATTTTGTGAAAACTATTTATAGATACGTGCCTGTCTTTGCTAAAAATTTATTTCTACTTTATTTTAAACAAAAATTCTACAATCATCATTGTGGAGACCTGTTTTATCCAATCATTTTTGACCACCTAATGTTATGAGACAGTACGATGGTTGTTTAGTTTTTCGTACACATTTTCTACTAAGTAAAGATATTGTACAAAAGTATATTACTTTAATAAACAATTATCAACTGAAAGTGTTTGTTTTTGAACCATAATTTTTGTTTCAGTAGCATGGCAATGTACGCAAATAAATTTTATATATCCAAAAAAGGATTTTCTAAATCAACTTTTAAAATATAATTGATGAAGTTAATGGCCGATATTGTATTGTGTGGATTGAAAAATTGTGAATTATGGAATTCGTGGATGCCTACAATTTACCATTATTTCAAAAACTATAATATCAAAAGGTGTTGTGAGAAATTCACAAGTTTTTATGTTGAACATTACTATAAAGATATAGAAATGTAACGAAATCATACCAAAGCGATAAAAAAATGAAACCAAAAAATTTAGAAGAATTGTGATTGAATATGAATCGCACCTATTAGATCACAGTCATTTGAAGGCCGTCGTAGTTTGGAACTGCATCCTAACGTTTCGGCAGCACGAGTGGCTGGCTTCTTCAGAGGTTTATTCATTTTGATGATTTGCCGAAAAAAGCTCTGAAGAAGCCAGCCACTCATGCTGGCGAAACATTAGGATGCAGTTCCAATTATATGAATATTCATATTGAACAAGTCACTTTTTGAGAAGGAAATCAGAGTGTTTTGTCAATCTTTTTTGGGTGCATTTCACCTTCCACAATCTGAAAAAAATTATAATGGAGAACTTTACACGGGTATAGAAAAAGCAAACTTTTCAGTTCATCCCGATAACTTACTTCTCTACATCTGTATAAAGTTCTGCATTATACATTTTTTTTCCAGATTCATATCCAAGAAACTACTCCAATTGAAACAATTGAGCTGGTTGAGCATCTTTAGATTTACTTACTATTTGTCTACCTCAAAATTATTTCCAATTCAATGACAAGTTTATTCGTGCAACGAACAGCTCCCATCAATAAAATTCACCACTGAAAAAAATTCTGTTTAAAATCTGGTTTTCTGTTAACTGGCTGTCGCACCCCTAAAAATGACAATAATAAACATATATAATTCCTTGACACATCGATATCAGCATCAAGTGAAAGCATTCAGTAATATGGAGAAGCTGGATATTTTCGACTCCATTCTCTGAAAAAAAACTATAAGTAAATGCCATCAACCAAGTATCTCCAACTTCAAATAATGATAGTAAAGTCATAGGACATACTTTGGTGAAACCACCAATGACATCGCTCGTTTTTTGAAAAAGAAAAAGTTGACTTACAGAACAAAAAATAATTTAAACAAATGCATTGAAAATAATAAATACAATCTTCTTTATAATTCTTTGGCGATTTTTTTTGTATTTCTATTTCGCATCAAAGTTAATATCCTGTAGAAATACTTCATTTGGCAGAACGTTTGCCTGGTCAACTAGTATCGAGGACAGATACATACACACTAGAAAATACATATTTTGAAATAAAATCTCGAAATATTCATCTCTTTCAACTAACTACATCGTGGGTTCTGGTAAATGCCTGCTGGAAAACAATTACTTACTCCGGCTAATACCACGTTGGACATTGAATTATTAGGCGGGGAGGTAGTTGTTTTCCGGCAGTCATATACCAGAACCTACGCTATAGGTAATTGGGAGAGATGAATATTTTAAGATTTTATTTCGAAATATTTATTTTCTACTAAGAATATACGAAAACATAAATTTGAAGGAGAAGCTCTTACTAGTTTACGATTCCTAATTCTACAGCATTTATTTGAAAATATTTAAAGGGTGACCTAGTAAAGTGGGGCACAACTATAACTATTTCATTTATTAATGGTTTCATTGATGTTTTGATGAAATATTTGTGATGGCGCTCTATTTCATGATAAATTTATACACTTCGAAACGTCCTCTGCTCTCTAAATCCAGTAAAATCACAAAAAATAATATTTATTATTTGTTTCAGTATTACTGGACGTAAATATGTTTAATGTTGCAATCATATGTTCATAAGAGATCTAAAATGCCGAAAATGATAAAATGACTAATAGCTAATCCAAGCCCTTAAGATTTTTTTTTACCTGCTTTCAAATTCCACTTTGATTTCATTATTCTATTATTTTAACACACAATGGATTATCTTATTTGTAGAATATAAATTTTTACTGTTAAATCATAAAATAGTAATCATGCATTTCACAATTACTCAATGGTGGAAATGAGTGATACATGATAACATCTCAGATTAGTACAATAACACCACAATATAAAAGTAAGGACGGGCTCTAATTTGAAGATATTCAACTACATTGAACAGCGAAACAAAGATGTGGGGGATTGTGCTTTTGGAGGTGAGTAGTTTTACAGCAATATTACTTTTCAGTATCTTTGAAAATATATATGAAGCAATCATGATATAAAAAATATATTTAAACTTTGTCTTCCCAGGTGGGGTACAGCTGTACCCCAGATACATATTTTTTGTTATAATTTTAAAATTAGCGCCCGTCCTGTTTGGCTAATTTTATTTTGTGTCGTTTGGGGTATTGCAAAATTTGAGATGTTAATTAATTTTCTTATAGTAAAAATTAAATACACCAATTTGTTTCTCTGGGGTACAAATGGACCCCACATGGGACTTCACTTAAATTTGCCGACGTGGGAAGACGAAGGTTAATAGCTAAGAAAGCAAGTAGGTAATTTTATTCAACTCTGGTTGAATTTCCGATGGAAACGCTTCATAATATTCATGAAAATTTCATAACAAATTAAAATGTTATAGTAGCCTTACATAGGTACCAAGTACTTGAATTATATCACCTGAAATAATTCATCACACATACCCAAAATAATATTTATAATAATAATTTTGGTCAAACTACTTCTGACTAATGCTTCAAAATTGAAAGGAAAATTGCACTGGATGCAGAAGTTAGTCAAAAACAAAGCCTCAAATTTACGTACAGACTAATGTACCCCCAGATCAAACAATCAGAAATCAATAAATTTGAAACGTTAACGTACCTATTTTGGTAAAAGAACAGAGACTATTGCGAGATTTTTCAGAAAAAACAATATGGAAGCGGCATTCAGGTCACATGCCAGGTTAACTAATTTCCATTTTAATGCCAAAGATAAATTGGACAAGATGGAGAAATCTGGAGTTTATAAGCTTAAGTGTCCAGAATGTATTAGTATTTATATTGAACAATGTGGCCGAAATTTCTCAAAACGGTATGCTGAACATGAAAGGTCCTTCAGGCTGGGTAAAAATGATTTGACATTTTCTTCGGAATGCAACCACAAGTTCCAGAATCTAAACGATACGGAAATTTAGCACTATGAAGGCAAGGATTGGAAACTCAATTATTAAGAAACCTGGGAAATTCATAAAGGACCAAATTGATCTTGTCTAGGTACTCGCTGGTTTTCAAATTAGCGTACCCACATCGTCATAGGTAAACAATATTCAGGTAATAAAGTCATTAAGAATCGTCTGTCATTACCTGATGTGGTTATATAGGTTGTAAATTGTTAAGTATTTCAATTTATTTTATTCGTTTGAAAATGTCTATACAGGACGAAACTGCAATAACGTTAGTTACAAATGAAAGTGATAGAAAACATAGGAATAAGTTTTAACTCTCATTTTTCATGATGATCTCCTACCACCTAGTAACGGCTTTATCCATAAATTTATTGAAATAAAAGGTGCTTGCAACGAAATTACCCCAGAAACATTAAATAATTTGAGAAATCAATTTGTAAACAGAATACCTACATTCTTATCTGGAAGTGAATGGAGAACATTTTGAACATTCATCTGTATACACTGAGGTTGGTTTTGAATAAATTTTTCAATAAAATTATGATATTGACGTTTCTAGATTCCTGAAAAATATAAAACTGCTTATTGCTTAGGAACGGCCGACCCTCTTTCAAAAAATAAATAAATTTTAGATAGATCATTGAAAAACATTTTAAACTAGATATCACAAGACTCCCTTTTGAGAAACATGTCAATAGTATTAGGAGTGATACCACACCATTTTGGAAAGTATTGATAGTTATACTTCTTTACCTTGATATCTTGCTCATTCAACAATTAAGATCAAACGGGGGCTTTTTCATGTCTGCTCTGTAAAAAATGTTCTTGAAAATATAGACAATTATCAAGATTATTTAGGAATATCTGGTTCATTGCAAATTTATAATGAATTTAACAAATCTTGGAAATTCTATGGAAGGCTCTTTGGGTTTCTTTATATCGTTGCTGACCTCTGGTATAGGCAATTTTTTCTCTCTTCAACAAACTTTGTATCATTCACAGTACTAAATGAGATAAAGAGATGACTAATCTATCAGTCTTCACCCATTTTACATATAGAAATGTTCTTATAGAGGTTTTATAATTCATACATTTCTAGGTTTTGGCGGTTTCTTTTGCCGGAAATGAAGCTTTTAAAATTTACACCGAAGGAAATTTGAACTGTCAAAATTCAGAGGTACAGTGTATTACTAATACATCATACACAACTTGTGCCACCGTAGAATCGTTCACAATACTTCTCAATACCCGAATAACATGTCCTGATGGTTACATTTGTAATGATTCAACTTCAACTCCGTAAGTAAAAATATTCTCTCTTCCTGTAATAAATACTTGATAAGTTCATAAAAATGAAAATATTTGAAAAATATCGAACAGGTCTATACTCAGGCCAAATTCTTAGTATTGTCACACCATTTATACTCTGTCCATCTAAGCAACAGAGTGCTCCAAAACATTATTATGCATAGTGCACGTGATCCCCCAGGCAAGGCTGCTTGTACAGAGTCGCATTAAGGAAGAACCGATTTTTCTTTAATAATATGCGGCTGAGTATAGGAATTTTTTTTTTAGGTGGAGTGTAGAGACACAAAACAGCAGTTTCTTCGGCCGTATCAGTATTTAACATTTTAAAAGGTTAAAATACCGTATATTATGTGCACACTTCAAGCGTTAAAACGCAACTGCCCACTCCAACAATGTAGCCAGCCGATTGCAGTTGAATCTGATTCGCCAGCGTTAAGGAGCCTTGTTTATTTTTCCCAATAGATGCAAATGTGCGCAATGATCATGCTTTGATCACGTATCTATATTTGTTTGGGTCACTCTGTTTGTTGGATGAATATAGTTTAGTTCTAGTGAATGTACAAAAATAAGTACTCTCTGATCAATCTTTCACTTAAGCAGTCGGCTAGAAGTTTATCTATTTTCCCTTGTTCATTCGATACCAAATCATTTTTCGATAAAAAAGCAAGGACACTGTAAAATCATCAGAATACATATTTTTAGGAGCTTTGTCTTTATTTTTTTGAACTTGTTGAAGTAAAATCTATTGAATTTTATTAAAATCGATTGTAGTAGATATGTGCTCAATTGATTTGTGAAGATGTCAGTCACATATTAATTTCACGTCTCAAAAATACAAGGCATGAAAAAGTCACCAGCAATTTTTTTAAAATAACGAAATTTGGAGATTGAACACGGAATTCAACGAAATTATTAATGGATTCTACATTCAACAAAACTCCGAGTTTTGTTTTTTAGTTTTACCATTGTCTCAATATTGCTGGGAAAAACTTTGCGACATGCTCAAATGGGAGCATATTTAGTATAGTTTCCCAAAGATTCCAATTGGAAAAGTGTTGCTCTGTTCCATAACCAATAACCAAAGAAACCAAAAAGAATTTTTTGTAATTTTTCAGTGTTTTTTTCCAAGATTGTGAAAAACGTATGGGGAGAGATGACGAAACTTTGGGTTTTTCTCTCTTTAACCGTTCCGAATAGACACCACTCTAACGACTGTATTATTAGCAGCAGAGTATTTAAATAGATCGACTAATAAACCCATGTTCTTTCTCAATGAAGTAACGAACAAATATTGAACTAGGAAAAATTGACAAATTCATCAACTATTATTTAATATATAACAATGTTTTACAATAAATATATCCTTCTGGTTAAGTAGAATTCAACCTTCGGAAGCATCAGGGTCACGAGTTGAAGTAATCATTGACAAGTTTAATTTCTTTTTCAGGTGTGTTTTACCAAACTCACAAAAAAACGAAACAGGTACGTATCAACTTTTTTGCTACTGCTAAGGAAGCGTTTGACTTGCCCATTTCTTCCAAGTCTCCGGAAAATACTAGGAATTCATTGGCTTATTAAATTTTTATATTCATCTTCTGAGGTTACCAATTTCAACAATCTAATTTGTACAGGTCATTTGTTGGATGTTTGTCATATTCTTCTGGACATTTAAGTTGTCCATAAAGTGCTCGTTTCCTCTAATCGAGTACCTGACATCCGCATAAAACACTTTCATTATAGGTACATCACTATTTTGTAATTATTTTAAACCGCTCCCATGCTACATTGAAGCAATCTTCAGTTAAATTCCCAGATGGATTGCCCATTTCTTCCAAGTCTCCGGAAAATACTAGGAATTCATTGGCTTATTAAATTTTTATTTTCATCTTGTGAGGTTACCAATTTCAACAATCTAATTTGTACAGGTCATTTATTGGATGTTTGTCATATTCTTCTGACATTTAAGTTGTCCATAAAGTGCTCGTTTCCTCTAATCGAGTACCTGTCATCCGCATAAAACACTTTCATTATAGGTACATCACAATTTTGTAATTATTTTAAACCGCTCCCATGCTACATTGAAGCAATCTTCAGTTAAATTCCCAGATGGCCTTTTTATGAAAGTTTTACTGTGTGTTTTGGCAAGTATATTTTTTCAGTATTCTTCATGAATGTAATTGATTGATCTTTTTGATCCGTTTCCGTACCGAAGGCTTTGAAACCTCCACATCTCTTCAAAGCTTACATTTGGAATTAATAATATGTGTCTAGCATAATCATCATTAGCTTTACGTTTCTTTTGATACTTCCTCAATGTCCTAAAATCCAGTATAGAGCCAGTCTACTTCTGCCTGTCAGCTTCTTCAGTTCTTCACTTCACTCTGAGATGAGTTTCACTGTTACTTTTGAGTTAATCAAATCCTCGATTGTAGCCTGACTGTATGTAAGCTATCAACTCATTGCGAGAACTCAAATTAATATTCTTTGCACATTGCAAAATTTGAAAGACATTGTCCGGAAGGCATGTATATTAGTATATTATAAGTATATTAGCTGTAATGCAAATTTATGTTTATTCGAAAAATTTGCGTGGAAAGTGTCGATATGGTTCGTAAACATCTTTCATGTTTGTACTTTCACATATATCTATATTTATGTTTGTTTTACTCGATTTCCTGTGACTCAATTTTACTAGTATGAATTGGTCTCTCATGCCTTCCCCATTATTATAACATGTGAAAGGGAAACATTTAAGAGTGTCTTCAACAGTGGTATTTTCATTACTCGTATATTATTCCCAAGCAAGCAACTTTTTGCACCTCACCTAGTCTTTTGAAAGGGTTCATCTGTTTCATCTCTACCCACCAGACCATATGCTACCATAGGTTTGATCACTATTGTGCAGACACCAATTTATTGTCTGGTTTTAACCTCGTGTCTTTCCGAAAGTGCAGTTGGCCAGCTTCAATCCCACCTTCGCCTTTCTCTTAACTCTTTTTAGACGTTGGTTATAGGTTAAAAATGGAATCTTCTAATATTACTCCCAGATATTCGGCCTCTCCGACAGAAACATTTTTTTAATTCCAAGTTTCAGTAGTCATAATCTTACTGCCTTGGTACTCTTATTGGATTGCTACTACAGACGATTTTTTCGGGTTTCTCGGATCCTTTCATTTTATTATTCAAGGCCTCGCAATATTTTTTTTCCAGGACTAGGATTACTAAGTCATATGCATAGCCCAATTCTTAATATCCATTATGGTTCAGAAGCCTTTTTCATCCATTACAAGGTTTCATAACAATTTCTCTTCCCGAGGAAAGTCTCCTGCTCCGGTTTCCTCTATATGATTTGTGTATACCAATCTTCCTAAGCATTCCAACTATTCATCTGCATCTTGTGGCGTCGATCTCTCTTGTATTAGGAAATGCGTCCTCGATTTCCAATAAAGTATCCAACATATTACTTTTTGTTTTCATAAGCATATTCTGCTTTCTAGTCGGTCGATAGTCAGTTGGTAAGCATTAGTGGTTACTTCTATTCATTTAATCGACCTTTATGTGAAGGTTGATTCGAGTCCAACTGTAGGATTTTGATTGAATCTTAGCTCGTAGATTTGACTTCCGCGGTTGTCGGTTTGTAAGAGGCCGATTGCTGGTTAACGTACAAATTTTCTTCTCCGCGAGACGGCATGACATTTCCAATTTAAATATCCAGTTTATTTGCCACAATAAATTGTAGTAATTTCGTTGGTGTTACTGTTCCCTCAAAGTTGTGCTGTGATCTATCTGCTCTTATAGATCCTAACTGACTCTTTCATGTTCCTTGTTGATGGTTTCGTACTATGATCCATTAATGACTCAATTTCCAAATCCCAAATTTTTTTTCTCATAAACATAGGATTCTTGTAAAATAGCAATATCGTGAGGATCGATGAAGCTCTCTTACTATATTGTAGGTTTATTTTCACAACTCTAAATATCAGTGTCGATACTAAGATCCTCCAGGACTCTGAAGGTGAGCTCATCTTATAGCAGGTTTTGAACATACTCCCCTAAAAGACTCTGAAATATCTTTTGTGTATAAAAAAGACCAAGATTTTACCATTATTTTTTCTTTTCTTATAATGACGAGCCAATTTTCCTCTCCAATGACAGAGTTATGCTAATTGAGTACTGTTTTGCTATATTCTGGAAGATTGTCTTTAACGATACCTGATAAAACCCGGAGACTATTTAGATAGGGTTTCACAGGTGTTCCCACATGAGCATGCACCAACTCATACATAGGTATCTACATAATTTAAAAGATGAGAAATAGTATTAGGCCAAAAATTAACATCGTATATGTTCTATTGAATGAGAATAGCAATGTACAATAATTTGAAAACAGTTCTATGTGATCTCCGGAAGTAAATTATTATCCGCCAAGATATTATATATGGGCTGTTTTAATTATCTGAATATGTGAAATAGTTTCAGATCTTCGGCGAATTTAAAAAAATAGTTTTAGATTGAATAACAAATAATTTTACCAAAATATTCGAATTTTTAATCTTCACTCCTTTCGATTCAGATGACAACAGTGTAACTAGTACAACCAATACAATTAGTACAATCAGTACAACCAGTACAAACAGTGCAATCAGTACAACGACCCCAGAGCCTGGTAAGTACAGAAAGCTCATCATGAATAACTACAATATTAGTCCATAAGAAGTTGTTGAAAAGGTAGGATTGGATTTTCTGGCGTAAAATGAATTCAACGAAAACACTTTTATCACACACCAAAACTTTTTCACATACACTTTTTCTTGATGCAAAAGAGTGCATATATAATAGTAAGTACCCTCGTTCAGATGCAAGAAACAAAAAGTGATATTGAGAACATAAAACTGAATAGAGAATGTATATGAATGCAAAACGAACACATATCTTCACAGCTGATTCATTTCACGACAAAATTAGAAATGGTTTATTCAAATATACGTACCTACAATCGATAAAATATGAAAATAAGCTAACCGGGAATTTCCAAATTTGACCGTTGTTTTAACAAGAAATCCAGAAGCTATATAATCCATATGTTTTTGATTGTCGAAAAGCTGTAAACCGAGTACGATGAAGGTTTCTGGATTCACATCCGAAGTTTAAAAACAAAAATTGTTTATATAATTGTCTAATTAAACATAGTTTTTATCTGAGATTTCAAATATATTATGCTGTGTCTCTAACTCATGCATCTGTATCTAACCATAAATATCCTACAAGCAGCGGCGAATCTATAAACCATTGTTTTTTGTTTTATTTACCCATTTTTTATGTATATGTTCTACTTCTTGGAGCATGTATCTGATCAAACAGGAATTTAAAAAATATGTTATACTTTTGACATGTTATTAAAAAGATCGAGTTCCAAACTTTTCTCTTCCAAATGTAACACGTCATAGTCGTGATTGAACTCATGTCCTTCTGCCAAAAGATGGTTTGCAAATGTGGAATTGGTCTTTCCATTCAAGAAACTACTTCTATTATCTTTAATTCTTTGGGAAAACGTTCTCTCCGTTTTGGAAACACATAAGAGTGTCAAATATAACCTGGAGAAAACATTTTTCTCACATCAGAACAAAAACACTAGGTATCTCCTAACGCGTGTTTCAGTAACCAAATTGGCATCATCAGGAGATACTAACAACTAAGTTCCTACAGTTCATTACTTCAGGTAATAGTCATAAAATCGGTTTTCAATAAATGTATTAAGTTGAACAATATATTGATTCCTTATTCATTTGTCAGTGACCAATTTGTTATCACAATCCTCACAGATTATTTTGTAAATCCCAGACTTTTCTCTCCATCACCCTGAAATTGCTCAAAACTTGTTGCAGTGTACAAGCAGTTCTGAAAGCCACTTATATATCTGATTCTTAAAAAAACTCAATTGGCATATTTTGGCTCATAACTATAATCTTTTAAAGTTAACATGTTTTTGAAAACTGAAGGAATCACGAAGACACTGTCTAAATTCTCGCTTCTTTATAAACTCATTGACTATGCGAAAAGGATACTCCTAACTCTCAGCTTTTTCTTTGCTAACTTAATCCTCGACCTCGTACCTTTCTTCACTTGGGAGGAATGTGACCAGCTTATAAAAAAAATGTCTCACTGTTTTTTGTTGTGGACAATGGTAGAAGTTATTGAGAATAAGATATCTTAAAGAGTATCCTTTCTGTAAATGAATATAAGAGTGGTTTTCCAAACTGCTTGTTCACTCCAACATATGTTGGACACCCTAACACCCAACATATGTTGGACACCCTAAAAGACAAGGCGATGAAAAAAAGTTAGATATTTACGAAATAAGCTGTGGGAATTGCAACAAAAGTATATTGGACAAACTAGGCGAACTACAATAAAACGTTTTAAGGAACATGCTTCATATGTTCGGTTAGTACACCTGTAAACCAAAGAAGTTTAGAGTCGCTCAAAATGCCTTAGGGAACAGCCACAGAATAAGTGAAAAACATTAGAAATTGTTAAGGCCTGTACATAATAACAGGTGTTTAGACGCCTTTGATAGTTCATAAATCAATACATTTGGAATAAGATTTATGAACAGTAATAAAGGTCCCACTCCAAACAGTCAATTGTTCATCCTCTTACATAATAAATAGAAACCAGATAAATATCAGTTACATTGGAATTAATTTATAGGAGTTTATTTAGTGACAGCATTTACTACTGATGATGCTAACTTAATTAGCGAAGCATGTATCAAGAAAATGTTTTTGTTCTGGTGTCATACTATTTACATTACTGGAATCCAATTGTGATTTAAATATACCTTAATTAAAATGGAGTTGAAACTGCTATGCAAGTTGGTTTCGATCATGAAAATCTGTCTCTTTTTCTGTTAACCAGCTGACGCCCCCTATGACCGACAACTCTCAAAAGTCGAACCTTGTGCGAGCTGAGGACTAACAAGATCTTACCTTTCAAAGTGTGATTCTCAACACAGGTTGGAAGATATGAAGTGAAAATTGATCGTCCGACATTGCGGTTCGAACCACTGGTTCACACAGCCATCGATCGAGTGAGTGAAGGAAACCACCCATGTCAACCCATCAGGCTACCTTCACATCATTCATATAAATGATAAATAATGATAATTCAGAATATTAACTTCTATCATTCAGTTTTAGAATTTATAAATGTCGGGAAGCTATTTTTTCGAGATGGAATTCATTTATAGAGGTTTATTTAGTGACAGCATTTACTACTGATGATGCTAACTTAATTAGCGAAACATGTATCAAGAAAATGTTTTTGTTCTGGTGTCATACTATTTACATTACTGGAATCCAATTGTGGTTTAAATATACCTTAATTAAAATGGAGTTGAAACTGCTATGCAAGTTGATTTCGATCATGAAAATCTGTCTCTTTTTCTGTTAACCAGCTGACGCCCTCTACGACCAACAACTCTCAAAAGTCGAACCTTGTATGAGCTGAGGACTAACAAGATCTTACCTTTTAAAGTGTGATCCCCAACACAGGTTGGAAGATATGAAGTGAAAATTGATCGTCCGACATTGCGATTCGAACCACTGGTTCACACAGCCATCGATCGAGTGAGTGAAGGAAACCACCCACGTCAACCCATCAGGCTACCTTCACATCATTCATATAAATGATAAATAATGATAATTCAGAATATTAACTTCTATCATTTAGTTTTAGAATTTATAAACGTCGGGAAGCAATTTTTTCGAGACTTCTGCAGGTATTCAACTTCTCCACACAGAAGTGTTCATTCTTTAAAGGCATTCAACGTTAGATATAGTTGAAATTTAAGAAAAAAGAAATAAGTGTCAAATAATTTTATTAAATCTGAATAAATACAAAATATTGAAGTATTGCCATTACTTCACACCTGGAAATTTCTTTAATAACACATTGATTTGCTTATGAGACATTGACTTTTCACCTGGTGTAAGAACACCCTTGGCTTCCTTCTCCTGTTTCATCTTTTTAGTTCCTAAATGACTATAGTAGCATTTCTGGAAAGTTTCAATTTCCTTTGGACATGCTGACTGATTGAATTCATTTTCTTTAAAACATGAGAACATAAGAGACATTTCGTAGACGCAACATGCCTCCGATGTTTTCGTTCCTTTGCCAGATACACCTGGTTTTAATTTGAGGGGCAAAATTGATTTGAATGGTACTGGTTCAGTTGGAACCGGACGGGCAACATATAAACTACTAAATATTCTCATTTTATATGTCGCACTGGTAACTGGTATATTTCCCTGGAATTAATGATTTACATAAGACAAGATCATTTATATGAGCATTTCTAAAAATATTTACCTTCAGAAATTAATTTTATAACCTAATTTTAATTATTGAAAATGAAATAATGAAACAGATGAAAGGTAAAGTTCTCTATGCAGTATTGTCAACCCAATAAAGTGGAGAGTCTCGCCACAGTTGCAACTTCGCTCTCTTGTTAAGGAGCAAATAAGGGCCACCATAGGTGAATATGTCAGAGAGCACTAAATGATGAAAAGTTAAGATGAAATTCAATTCAAAGAGCTATTTGAGTGCATGAGAGATGGATGTTTGATTTTGGCTTGTTTTAAGAAGTCAAAGTTCGTTTTGCGGGGTTTTGACAAATAAATTATGTGTTGATTACATGCCCCATAACTACTCAGGCTATTTTTGATCTGTGAGTAACTACGACGACAAATTTCCGAATGATAAATAAGCCGATAAGTCAAATGGCTCATCGAGTGCAAGAAACATTCTACTAGCAGGGAAATCTATCTAACAGGAATAAAATTCCATGAAAAATGTAGTTGATAAAATATAAAATATATGATGAGTTTGAAAAAGAAATAATATTTGAAAAATTAGACAAGAAGTGAACAATGAGTATGAAATTTCAAAAAATATAAAAAAATAAGAAGACTGATTTGTAAAGAAAATAAATTATTGTGACCTGAAATGAAAAGGAATAACTGAATGGATCAAATAATAAGTTTGGACCAACAATAAAACTGAAGGTAAACCAGTTATCAACCAAAGGGAATTATGGATACTTACAATCGAAACGTCGTGAAGTAATTTAATTCGAAATATTTATTTTTATTTTTTTGCATTTTCAAATAGTTCCTCTTCAACTAGCTCATCGGAATATTTCGATCCTAGTTTTTATAATATTTTCAACCTTTTATTCATACATTTTTTATTTCCCATTCCCTCATAAATTTCAAAAATGGTAATACGGGTAATACATATAACATTCACTATCATTTATTTTACGACACAAGAGAAATCAGCTCTAAATAGGATGCAGTACTTGTTACATTATCATTTGATATCTTCCGCTCTAGTATCGCGGATCTGTAAAAGATTTATAAGCTCTCTCAAATAAATTTATTATGAAATCATTATATATGATAAAACTGATGCATGATACACTATGAATTTTTGAAAAAATTGGATCATATTTCACGAAATTTCAACCGCCCATCACATTACAGATGCCTCGGGGAACTTTTCATGACATTTTTCAAATTAAGAACTATGCATGAAAAATCTCCATTATATAACTTTGGATCAAATTTTTTGCTCCATTTTGTAAAGTCATAAAATCTTTAAAAGTTATTGGCGAAGAAGTTTTGTTCTTCATTGATAAATAATTTATTTCAGAGGTACCGATATAATCTAAGGTGACACTTGAAGGTATACACAATTAAATGTAAACCTAGCCAAACTTCCAATGAAATGAAATATAGAAAAAATGTACTGAAAAAAACTTTATGAAAAGTAATTTTTAAATTTTTCAGACACCTTGAATATAATTTTGATTTTCACATTTACCCTCTTATTTATTCAGCACGCAGAAATGTTCATAATAAAAGGTAAAAACGGTGCATTTCTTCTCTTTTTTATCAACCGTACTGTATAACGGTCTCTATTACACAAATCATTACATCTAGACTTATGGAATAAAAAAGATTTGGTGTCGTAAGATTCGTCTAAAATCATTTTTGTTTTCGAAAAATAACTTGTTGAGAAATGGTTGCCATTTGAAAAATCATAGTTGAATACAAAAATGTAATTTTGTCAACTTGTCTCATTTTTGTCTATCATATCTCTTTAGATTAGTTTATGTCTTGTCATGGTCACTTAGGTGCAATATTGAAATGTGTTAAAAAAATAATAATTAGGCGTAGAAAGTATTGAAATACCTATTCTTACAAAATTTTCCACTCAAAACCAGAGCCACTTCCGGTGAAACTAGAAGTGACAGAAAAGTGAAAATATGCAAAAAGTATTTTCTTCGTGTATCCGTTAATTATACTTAATCTTATTCTAATACACCTAATAACTTACCAATTCGTTGTCACCCAGTATATTTATATCAACACTTTTCTAAGCTGCACATAATCTGTGACGTAGATTCAATACCAAACCAAATATACTCCCACTTTCTTGTCTCAAAAAATATACTTAAACAAAATTCTGTGCTTTGAGCGGGAAATTCAAAAATATTTTTTTTCATCAGATTTATTCATATGTTTAGAAAAAAAATTAAGAATTACAATAGTTTGTTTCGATAAATTAGATAATAACGATACATTTACCGAGTTATCTAATTTCAATTCAAGGTGGGAGACAAACTATACGCGATTAAAAACTATCGAATGTAAATGTGAATGAACTTTTTATGAAACCGACAGAGCCACCGTCAACATCATCAAAAATTAACCACGGGACGTAGAGTGCGTGAAGCTAGGTTCTTTAAAATTTCTCCGAAGTTTTTTATATTAGTAGAGTGCTGAAATAACGACCACGTTCAAACGATGTAATCCTTTTTTTTTAAGATTTGTGAAAAGTATTCACTATGGAGTAGTGCAAGTGCAGTGGATGTTTATAACCGCGACGGTGGAAGTGTCAGTAGGTGGATAGGAGGAATTAACTAGGGAAGAATTTGAAGATGATATCGCATAAGGGATCGGCTGCAAATCGTGGTAATACGTTATGAGATGCATATATCAGAGTTTCAGCTTTCCTCAAACACCATCTTGACAAAATGTTCCAAAATGACAGAAGAAGGGCACAGAGTACATGGAATGAATGGGAATGCTGACAGAAACATTAAGGAGGAGTGCCACAAAACTAATTATGGGCAAGGAGGACGTCTCAAATTCTTCAAAGGTCAGTTTTAATGTTATATATGAAATGAAAAAAATTGATACCAGGGGCTACTCTCTTCCTGTTATACATAACTTGCCTAGTTTTTATCAAACTAGTTTCAGAGGCATTTCTCTAAGAGCAACCACCAGAATATAATACCAATTATGTACCAAATATAAACAGTTAATCTGAACAGCCTAGGTAATTCAGCAGTTTCACTTCAGTCCCTTCAGAAAGTCGTGACACTTGTATTCGCTTTACTTACTTTTCGCATGGAATGAATCAACTGCAAGTTTCTTTCGACTTTATATACTCTTTGATAATTTGTGGGCAATTTTCCTAACAGAACTTATGTTGCTGTCTTTAACCCCATAACTTTACTGTCATCCAACATTCATGAGAATTAAGACCATTCTATTTGTATTTAAACATAAAATATGCAATTGTTTGATGATGATGATGATGATGATGTTTTATTTAGTTTTTCATTTCATTGGTATCTGCTAACCCCAACAAAATCCTATACAAATGAATATGATCAGTAAGCTATGTAAACGTCAGAAAATCATAGCGCTTTTCTACTAACATCACATTTTCCAGGAGTTATTCATTGAGAAGTTTTCTAATGGAGGAATACTGAAAACTTCTGCTAAAACCGAGTCCTGTACCACCACAAATAATTCTATTATTAGATACGCCCTATTGAGAGGAATTTATCCAGAAATTTGTTTTTTGAGTTGCACAACTACCTTCCAGTAGTTGCACATGATCTGTCAGACTGGGTCAAAATCTATTTAAATTATGTTTTTCCATTAACCAGCTATCACCCAGTTATGAAAAACAACCCTCAGAACTCTAAACTTGTGTGGATTAAGCATTAATGAAGTCTTACCTTTCAACCTGCAGTCAGTATTTATGAGTTTATGGAGTCTTGAAGGGGTATCAAGCTCTCATAATTAAAAGTCAAATTTAATGACATCATTAAATGAAATGAATTTCAAAATATTAATCTCTCCCAACTACCTACACAGTAGGGTGTGGTGAACGTCTGTCGAAAAACAACTACTTTCCCAGCTAATACCACGCTGGATATTGAATTATATCCAACAGACATTTATTGTAAGATACATAGGTATAAGGGAATAAATATTTCAAAATAAATTTCGAAATATTAATCTCTCCAAACTACCTACGCAGTACCTCGATACCGCGGTCTGCTGGTGATCTACTTGAATAATTTCAGCATGGTCCTGCTGCTGGTTGAACAAGAAACATCTGCGAGAAAATAATAAATGAAAAATTCTTGGGAATTAATATCGATGAGTGTCTGAAATTTGAGGAGCATTTAGACATTATAAACAAGAAACTCAGAATAGTATCAAAAGAACTAGGATTTCACGTAGCAAAAAATGTTTATTATGCCCTCATAGACTCTCACCTAAGGTATGGCATAGCATTTTGGGGTGAATGCAGTAAAGAGCTGTTTCAATCTGTTTTCATATTACAAAAACGTGTGATACGATATCTCTGTGGAACAAAGTGGAATGATCCTTATAAGCCACTGTTTTTAATGCATGGAATTTTAACTGTGACAACATTGTTTATTCTTGAATCAGCATGCCTTATACACAAGAACAAAGGTACCTTTACTTCTCCGCCTCACCACAATACTACATAAGCTTGCCAATTAAAGGTTGCTATTCCAACAAGTAGTCAAATCGAAAACTCAATGATATATAATGGAGTTTTAAAAAATCTGTTTTTCCGTTAACCACCTGTCGCACCCCTACGAACGACAACCCTCAGAAGTCGAAACTTGTGCGAGCTAAGGAATAACGAGGTCTTACCTTTTAACGTGTGATTTCTAAACTGGGTTGGACGATAGCAAGTGAAGATCAATCGTTCAGACTAGAGCTTGAACCACCGACCAACACGGCAGTCAATTCGAGTGAGTGAACAAAGCACCCACGCCGAACCGCTTGGCTACCGACCGACAATGTGAAAATGTATAACAAGTTACCTAAAAGTTCAACAGAATGTGTCACGCTACTATCTTTTAGGAGAAACTTGAAGGCAATTCTGGTTAAAAAATAGGGACATGTATATCATCTTGAAGCATTTTTCACCATCTTTCAATTTATCGAGTAATATACAGGGGGTTTCATTTGAAAAAATGAACTTTCGACTACTTTTATGCACAATGGAAATAATAGTAATTTTAGCACGCCCTGTATGATATGGAGTCGGTTTCTTGGTGTTATTTGAATATTTCGAGTTAGTCCAAACTATCATCAAAATATCAACTTTTCATGAATTGAGAGTACTGATGTACTTCATTTCAATTAAGGCTATGTTTTGGATCATATTTAGCACAATTTATTTTTTATCTCGAAAACAGATAGAGATAGGTATAGGACATTATTAACAAAAAAGTATTAAAATAC